TATATAGGATACAACCACAAGCAATGTTGCTGATTAAAACACAGAGATTACATATAAAAGACCAATTAAACCAACTTCACCTTTCTTAAGAAACAAACAACGTCAGTGCAAAATTAACAAGGTTTGATCCATTTTTTTTTCTTGTGTTCATCGTCTCTTCTAACTGGTTATATATACATGTACGCATGCATTGTTCGTTGATGAATATGTGTTTTGGTGGTTGTGGTGTGCATGCAGATAATGATGGGAAGATCATCTACCAGCGACGAAAACGGGCTCAAGAAGGGTCCATGGACTCCAGAAGAGGATCAGAAGCTTGTCGACTACATTGAACGTAATGGACATGGGAGTTGGAGAGCGTTGCCTTCACTTGCAGGTCTGAATAGGTGCGGCAAGAGTTGTCGTTTGAGGTGGACTAATTATCTCCGTCCAGATATCAAGCGAGGCAATTTTACCGAAGACGAAGAGAAGCTCATCATACACCTCCATTCCCATCTGGGAAACAAGTAATTTTTCGTCTACCTACATATCTTATTGGATAGAAAGTCAGGTCTCTAAATTACAGAATTAGTTTTTTATTCATAAAGGTTTTGGCTTTAGTGTTCCGAAAAGCTATCGTGATCAATAGCAGTTTAGGTTCCTGTATAATTCACTGAACTATAATGAGTATGCAGGTGGTCTTCAATAGCAACGCATCTTCCAGGAAGAACTGATAACGAGATCAAGAATTACTGGAACACCCATCTGAAGAAAAAACTGCTCCAAATGGGAATCGATCCAGTCACACACCAGCCAAGAACCGACCATCTCGACATCCTTGCTAATCTGCCACAACTTCTAGCCATTGCTGCCAACAACTTAGGTGCTACAAATCTCTTCAATCCCACCTTCGATATGAATCTAAATGCCTTAGTGTCGCAATCTGATGCCACCCAAATCGCAAAATTTCAGTTGCTTCAAAACATACTCCAAGTCTTGAGCACCAACAGTACTCCTACTAATACTTCCTCAATACCACAAAACCTTGACCCTTTTTACGCTGTTCAGCTATCAGAATACCTTAGGTTAAACCCTCAACATCTGCAAAACCTTCAAGATTTAGCCATGAATATAGCTCCATCAACTCCAAATTTACATCCATTTGGGACCCATGATTTCATTTCACCGAGTTTTCCAAACCTAGACTTGGACCATGATCAGGGTTCAAAAGTATTTAGCGGACATGATTGTCGAACAAATGGAATTACTCTCGGGAAAGAAGAGTATGTTGGTTTTGAATCTATTCCACCGCTAGTGCCAGCCTCACCTCAGCATCTCAGTCACAGTAATGGTGGCAACGGGCAGAGTCCGGGAGGTGATGTGAATACTGATCAATTAGGAAGCAGTAGCATTCTGAAACAAAGTGATCATCTTTCCTCGTCTAATCCGACATCTACTTCAACTACTTTAGATCCTAATTGGCAAGAGTTTATGGATGATGAAGCGAGTGGTTGTTATTGGAAAGAGATCATCGAGTAAGCATGGTTTTAGTATACTTCCCTTTACATAACAAACAATACACAAACATACGCACACGTACAACTACACATACATGAACATACGAATACATGTACATATATATGTAAACCAACACATTTTTTGTATTTAGTTTACTTTTAAATTGTGTAGACCATCAGTTGATTCCGTCGATCATATCCTGTACCAAAATTATGTAGTATTTGACATTGATCTATGATCTATTTCCAATTTACTTATAAACCCTTCAAAACACCAAAAAGAAATTTTAGTTATTCTATTTTTCAAACTTGTATAGATTTTTAGAAATACCTTTATAAAAACATGTCTCAAAACTGACGTTATTTAAAAATGTGTACATGGTATTTTAATTAATTAAGTATATATTTGTGTTTTATTAACAAGATTATATCTTTCCATTTAAAATTAAAAAGTATTCTTGGAAACCGTAACTCATGGAAACCGAAGGACATTGTTGCACAAGTTATTTTTTATGTTATGTTTTCGCTTGTGTACGTCGTTTTATACAATATATATCTATGCAGGCGGGGGTCTCCACCATGGTCGTAAAGAGGATTGCTTTGTATCATACAGAGACAAGAAATCTAGGAACATTTTGTGAAAAAATTAATAATAGAAGTGTTTGGTTTGATGGGTTGTTTTCTTGATGTAAAGTTATACCATATTAACGTTGTCAATGTACATAAGACACGACCATACATTTATACAAAAATATTCATTAATTATCATAGTGTTTGTCTTTCATCCTCTTTTTTTTCCTCTTGTATCTTTTCATCAAATGATTTCTTTAAGATATGACTGGGGTAAACGATGTAAATAAAAAGTAGACCTGAAGTTCCTTTTTCTCTTTCTTTTTATTTTTCTACGAGCACTCTCTTCGTAACACAAGTGTAAGGGATTAAACATAAAATGTTTTTTTATATATGAAACTGAGAAACTAACACTTGGTGAAATTAAGATAAATTGGATATCTAGACAATTAAGTCGAAGAGTAGAGATGAAGTTACAAGTAAAAGCGACATAAGAGTAGGAGCAAGTAGAATCAAAGAGGGGAAGGTGTTGACTTGGATACGAAACAACCACAATGTCAAACATAAATGTCATTCATGAAACCTAAGACAAGACTAAGTAGTTAGGTAATTTCATTGAACTTTGTTTTCACTTGTCCATTGTAAATTCTCATTATTTCAATGAACTATTTGTATCATAGGTTTCTTTTCTTAACCGTCTCACTTCTAAAACAAGTTAATTAGACTATCACAAGAATCCGTGTTCTTAAAATATACCTAGGACAGTGACAATTCACTCCAAGGCCGATATCCATAAGACTATCTCCCATGTGGTTAGTCATGTTTCAAGGCACGCTAATAACTAATTTATTACTTAGAAATTGTTAAGTTGAGTGTAAAAGAAACCTTTTGAAATATGTCTAGAAGGTTAAAGATATAGAAAACGAGATACACGTTCAAGGGATCAGGGAACATAATGAAATGGCGAAACAACGAAGAAACTAAGACTTTCAAATTTGACATTTTATTTATAAAAAAATACTCATGAGGGGAAATGCGCTGATGATTCATCATTTGTCCATTCCTCATCAAAAGAGTTATATATATATATATATATATATATATATATATATATATATATATATATATATATATATATAT